GTTGGCCAGGTTTGGTCAGGAGCCATGTGGTGTGGAGCGCTACCGCTGGAACGGAATCGAGTGAGTGTGATGTGTGGGGCGAGGAATTTGCGCATCCAAGATCCCGGATGGAGGCCAGTCGGGATGATGGAGGGACGAGCGGGACAAGGGCTGGGTTTGGGCGAGCACAGACGAGTGGTCGAGCCAAATAGGCTGGATTTCAATGAATTTGGCCTAGGGTGTAGCTATGCATACGCTCCGATGGAGGTGAGGTGGGTGGAGGGCGTGACAAGGAATGGGCTTGGCGAAGAGCAACACCTGCTGCAGCTGTCGGGGTGCGTTGAAAACCCTTTGGGGTAGGGGAGTGAACTCTCCGGCCGCAAGAGAGCATGGTAAGAGCAGGGCGGCGCAATGGCTGGATTAAGCGAGGAGCGACGCCGGTTGCAGATTTACAGTTGGAATGAGATGGAGATAAAAACTGAAAGAGGGCAAAGAATCACTGGACCCAGGAGCTGGGCTGGGCGCCGAACGCAATCGCAGAAAAGGTGGTGTTACTGGCTGATTTGGCATGGAAGGATGCCAGGCAGAAAGAGTGAGTGGACAACATTGCGGGGTGGGAGGCAAGCAATCGGAGTAGCCAGGCTTCCGCTGGAGGCTATCATAGATGACGTGGCGGGAGAAGGTAGGCAGGCCGCCAAGGTGAGAGTAAGTGGATGCGGCACGCGGTGGGAGGCAAGGAATTGGCTTGGTCATAAGCTCGGCTGGACGTCAGGTGGCATGGCGAGAAGATGGGCAGGCAAGGATGTGGATTGGCGAGGAGGCATTCCACATAAATACATTGAAATGAATATGGCACGGATTGGACAGCAAGGAAACCTTCTAGCCATGGGAATGTCACGGTACGACGGGAACGCGGTCGGGGAAGGGGTTGGGCTGCGAAGGAGGGACACGTGCTCGTGAGGGCGAGTGACCAAGGCATGGCGTGGGCGATGAAGAATCTGTCAAGTCATGAACCCGAAATGTGGATGTGAAAGAATGAATTTCGGAGCAGTGTTACAACACTACCACTGAGCGGTAGTGCTATGGATTAGCAAGGCTACATAAGTCAATGTTCAGTAGAACATTAGCAGCGGAGATCTGAACGGTTACATCACGTCTTGAGGAACGCTCTCAAGAACAGTAGTGGGTTCAAGTGTACCACGTAGAACAACTTTGGTTCCTGGAACAGTATTGCGGATCCCTGACCGTTTACGGACAGCTCTCTGTTAGTTTCCAGAACAGCTTCTTGAACAAGTCTGGAAGATGACGAGGTGCAGCCAAGCTTGCTCCCCCCCATTTCTCTCACTCTGCTTTCTCTCCTGCCGTTTCCACTATTCTGCCAAAGTCTATTGTTCTCTACAAGTTTTCTTGGCCGTAAGCGACCATTCGACGTCAACAAGTCCACAGCAGAAGCATCACCCGCTACCTGCGACCTAGGTGGACAGACTAACGTCTGTCGGTGTCAGCCTTTGCAACCACCTGCCGGGATCCACACGGAAATCCCACAATAGAATGGTTGGGGAATAGAGCTAGGGGTGGTTTCGTGGGGTGGGGTGCCACACAGGTGGGAATGAGCGAACACAGCAAGGGTCGACAGGCAAGGAATCGGTTCTGCCAGGAGCTCAGCATGACGTGAGGTTTCCAAACGAGAAAAGGGTCGGGGGTGGTGATTAGTCTGACCAGAAGGAATGTCGCGCGAACGTCAGTGAGTGACGAAGGGTCTGGGCTGGGAGACAACGGATGGGCATTGCTAAATCGGCTGGAGGTGGGATGGCATGGCTGGGGAAGGGTCAAGGGAAGGAAGACGAAGGGGGATACCACCCGGGTCGGAGTGAGTGAACAAGGAATGGATTGGGATGCACGCAATCGGTATTGGACAGAGTATCGGACGATGCGAAACATCGTAGGGAACAAGGATCGGACGAGGGGGTAGTTTTGACGAGGGGCGGCGCGACATATGAGAGATTGAGTGAAGAAGGCGTGAATTGGGAGGCGAAAGACTCGCCTCTGCCAGGGCTTTCGCAGGAGACGAGATGGCATCAAGAAAAATGGGCGAAGGAAAGGATTAGTCTAGTTTGGCGCTGAGCAATGCCACAAAGGCGAGAGCGAGTGAACATGGGACGTGTTTAGACAAGCAACGGATCTACCCGGGGGCTTGGTTGGAGGCGATATGGCATGGTGGGGGAAGGGCCCGGAAAGGGCGAGCAAGGAGCGATGCCACCCAGGTCAGAGTGAATGAACAAGGCATGGATCGGGATGCAAGCAATTGGTTTAGTCAAGGGTCGGAACACGCGAGATATCAGCAGAAGAAGGGTCGGGGCGACGGGGTGTTATGGCGAGGGAAGAGGCCAGGCATGTGAGATTGCCTGAACAAGGAGCGGAGTATGATGCGAGAATACATGAACAGATGCATGGTGAAGGGAGTGGTTCGGCGATGACCGATCCCACGCCGGCGGGAGTGAGTGAACGTGGGTCGTGTGGGGACAACAATGCATCTACCCAGACCCCCCGCTGGATGCGAGATCGCCTGGTGGGAAAAGGGTCGGGAATGAGGTCCGATTGGCTAGGAGGTATGGTGAGCGGGTTAGTCAAAGTGAACAGATTGTGGGGTGCGAAGCAAGGAAGCTGTGTGGTAAGAGCCTCGGCTAGACGCGACAAGACATGGCGGGCACGCGGGGGAGACTGAGTGAATATGGCTGGGGTTGGGAAGAATAGATTCGGTGTTGCCGGCATCTCGGCTGAACGCAAGACGGTAGCAATTGACGGGAAGCGGACCTGGAGTGGGTTGGGAGGCAAGCCGTTGGGATAGCCAGGAGTCAGATTGGACGCGTGATGCCTTGGCGAGAGGGTGAGGGAATGGGCACTGTTGCGAGAAGGCATACCGCGCAGCATTCGTCTGAGCGAACAAGGCGTATGTTCGGGGGAAAGGAATCCGTCTACCCAGAGTCTCGGCTACAAGCGATCTAGCTGTTGGAAACAGGGTCGGAGAGCGAAGTCGTTAGCGACGAGTAGGGTGCCATACTTGTGACATGAAGTGAATATGTCATGGATTCGGTGGT